GCTTTAAAATATACTGTGTCCATTATTCAAAAGAAGGGTTTTTGTTAATCCAGTCATCCAACGTATTTAGAAAACGTATCCAGGAAGGCATTTGCATACTGATGAGAACAAGTTTCTATATGTATGGCACGAGTACCGAAAAATACCAAAACTTCAGCATAACCATTCAATAATTTAGCACTCGGAAGGACCCACTAAAGTCCATTTTCATATGTAAATAAAGTGGCAGGATGAGATCTGCATCGACGTTGTTGTAAAATTCAACCTATTTAAATTATGGTTTTGATAGTTCATTTTAACAAATGCGTTAAATAAAACTTGTGGTAATCATGTCAAATTTCGAGACCTTCCATTCCATTAATTTCGTAAAGTTTAAAAAATTATGGACGAACTACTTCTATAATTCGATGCTGTTGGGCCCAATAGCATCGTCTCAATCAACGTTCTCATGCTAGAGACCTTGCATCAGTTGCTTTGCAACTTTAACAATGAGAGCTATCCCGCCAAGAGGATTGTATATCATATATCTCACAATCTTAGATTTGGCACCTGGTTTACAACCAATTGGTGCTATAGGAAGATAGTTTTTTTTTTCATTTGGTTTTTTCTATGTTCCATTTGATTGAAATCGATACATTCTTGCAAAACACTATAACCGTGTTTTAGCTTATAGATTTCACAAAAGTGTTCGTCATTCGAAATTATTGTGCAATCTCAATATTTCTGGATAATAAATTAATAAATACGTTAGGTCATTATATAGAGGCCATACCAAAAAAGGGACTTATAGAAAATTTTAACTACAAGGATTGTTATCCATTGTGAGTCTAAAATATCACATTTAAAAAATCAAAAAAAGAATGTTGAGGCCTTCAAGATACCTTAAATCGGCAGGTTATATAATATATCAGTATTGAAGGAGTAGACTTAAGTGTACTGAAATCATAAAATGCCACATTGGAGCACATTTAGTATATATATATATATATATATATACTAGTATATATATATATATACTAAATGTGCTCCAATGTGGCATTTTATGATATGATATGATATAGATATATTCGTGTAAAGTAGCAGTTTTGGATCAACCGTTGTGCCTTCGTCGACTCTTTCTGGAGATTTGTTCTGGCAGTATCATCCTATATTATCCATTGACATCCAACATTAACGAATGATGTATAATAAGCGAGGAATCCCGCCATCTTGCACGCCGGTCCTCCAGGAACTATGACGGTGTCTGAGATGTCGGATATAGGTGTTACTCTGTACAAGCCAGTATCTACACTTATCAGAAGATGTGGGTTGCAGCTCTGTGTTTCAAATTTGGTATTTAGAGTTCGTAATGAATACTACAGCCTATGATTGAAAATTGTCTGTGTAGGTCCACGTCTTCGTATAGCCCCTATATAACGGTACCTCCCGATATTCGGTACTTTCTTGATTTTAGCGACATTATTAAAATTGTCTCTGCAGGTCCACCGTATTATGGGACGCAATCTTTTGGTGTGGAAAAGGCAATCGTTGGTATGGGGATATCCGTTTCTGCAATCTGTTTCTCTTTTCTTCTAAACATACTTCCACACTGACGATGCTTTAAGAGTTTATTCCTATTTCTTTCAAGTGTTTTCCTATAAATTTATCGGCACGAAGAGGCAGGCCAATGATTCGAAACTGGCGGTGCTTCAAGTCGTTAAAATATGACTCCACCCTTGCCGATGTTGCATTTACGTTACCGCGTTTTCTAACACTCCGCATTATATCCGTGAATATAGAAAAGTATTGCACTAGGTTTTTTAATTTTTTTGCGAATTCGGGCAACATGTACCCATTCACATCATCTTCGATACCCTTTATGTCCTTTTTGGACTTTTCATCAATTTTTGCATAGGTATTTGCGATGTAATTATATAGATTCGGCGATTACGCTTGCTCCTCAAATTCAATGTCCATTTCTTTGTCATCATCAGCATTGCCCAAATTGTCTTCCTCAATTATGTTGGTAGCTACTTCGGTTGGTATCCCTTTGATTTTCGATTGAAGGAACTCCTTTGCTTGAAATGCTATATATATATCTATATATCTATATCTTAATTTGTCTATGTATAGACAACGAAATGCTCTCACCGTTTATCTTCGAAAAAATCGAATCAGCAGATGTCGTCTATATCGTTTCAGGGGTTTGAGTGGGAATATTGAAGTCACTCAATTCTAAAACGTTAAAAATAACAAAAACTGTAGGATATTTGTCAGTTGGAAATTGTTCCATAATAAAAGAAATTTGAAAAGTACGTGATGACATCAAAAAATTCCGGAATAATAAAGTGAAATTCTTGAAAAACGATAAAATGTGTTTTCGAAGTCGAGTGGGTTGAACGCGTAAATCAGCATGTTGACTATGCAAAACATGATGAGAGCCACCTGGATAAAAAGACAAAACTAACTTTTCGTTGTCTATATTTTAATTTGTCTATGCTTTTCGTTGTCTACATCTTCCTTTGTCTATGGTTTGAGTGGGAATTTTGAAGTCACTCAATTCTAAAACGTTAAAAATAACAAAAACTGTAGGATATTTGTCAGTTGAAAATTGTTCCATAATAAAAGACAAGTGAAAACTATGTAGTGACATCGAAAAATATGAGAATATTCCAGTGAAATTATTGAAAAACTATAAAATGTGTTTTCGAAGTCGAGTGGCTTGAACGCGTAAATCAGCATGTTGACTATGCAAAACATGATGAGAGCCACCTGGAAAAAAGTCCAAACTAACTTTTCGTTGTCTATATTTTCTTTTGCCTATGTGGTCATTGGCGGCTTCTTCGAAACAGAACAAAGGAGCGTAGGGTAAAGTCGAACTAAGTCAACCTAAAGCTTCTTTGTTCCTTTATGAAGAAACCGTCCGATAACTTAAGCCAATCAAAAATGCGTCTTATTTATTCTCACCTCAATACCCATTATTAGCAAAGTTAAGAAAAAAATAAGTTGGTAATGACAATCGTAGGGATATTTTTAAATTTGACCAAATCTCTCCAAATATTTGGAAATAAAATGGATATATGTTTTGCAGTTTGCCCAATAATATTTAGCCCGCGCGGATATATACGAATTATAATAGAAGAAGCTTTATATAAATAAATAAATTAATAAAAATACCGACGCTTAAATTGGTGCGTAGAATGAAATACACCTAAGTCTGTTTTTACACGGTAGATTGGTTCCAGAAGAAGCCGTGTAAAAAAAAACGTGTAAAAAAGACATTGATCTTATACAAAAATGGGTGATTTGTTCCTAATCTCTAAAACCTATTAAAATTAGTGAAAAACAAGAATTTTTATTTTTTTCTTTACCAAACACGTCTTATTGCATTAACAGTTCACAAAATATTAACACGTTTCAATTGCTCTGACCAGCAAATTTTATTGTATGCACATAGTGCTATTCACATTTGCTTTGACCAGTAAAAATTGTTTGTACGCGCTAAAGGGGAATTCACTTAAATCTTTAAGCTAGTGTTCGCAAACTATCGATACTATCGATGGTTTCAGACTTTTTTCTTTCATAAATACTTTATTTGTGATATGAACATACTTCGCAAAAATTAAATTTGACAAAAAAATTTAAGTACATAAAATTTCAAATCGTGCTAAATGGAATAAAATCGTGTAAATAAATTAAAAATATTCAATTTTCAAACCGTGTTATATCAAAACCGTGTACAAAAAGACCGTGTAAAAACAGACTTAGGTGTATTACAAACGGACTCAACTTTTGCTAAAGAAACCAGTGAAAACAATAAAACCAAGCAGGTTTTGTATGATCAACTCAACATATGATGATCAGAACAAAGGGAGAGAATTCCACAACAATAGAATAAACGTAGGGGAATACATTTGATTTATACAGTGGTTTCTATTTACCTGCATCAACATTAGCTGCGCATTGGCCTTTGCAGAGCAAAAAACTTTTGTTATGCCATTTTTTTCTGAATCCCTTTATTTGAATTGTATTTAAGTGCCCAATCGATAGCTGCACATTGGACATTCCTGCCTCGAAAATTTGGTAATTTTTTTTTAATTTGGTTACAAAAGTTGCACAAGAAAATTTTTTGCACACTCAAAAAAAGCACTAAAAACTACCACTTCGTTTTTGTTTTTGTATTCGCAAAAACAATAACAACACAAGAAAAGAGCATGCATTAAAAACATATTCTCGCTTCCTCTCCCACACTAAAAGATGGTTATGCTGGATAAAACACCACTGATGCTCAAATACATACGAATAGAAAATTAAAGTTACCTGCACTTTTTGTGCACGTAAGTAAAATTAAAGATACCTGCTTCATTGTGCAGATAAGTGCAATGAAGCTACCTGCATTTTGGGCATTGCTGCACAAGATGTCGTGCAATTTTTGATTGTGCAGGTAAGCAAAAAATACTGTACTAGAAATTGTATTATAAGTCGATCGTATGATGGTCACTACGACCAATAATGTTTATTGTGTGCAGTGGCTAAACGCGAATAGAGCAATTGATATTAGACCAAACCGAAACATATAAAATATGTACTGCGAAACACGGGAAGCTGTAGAAATCTGAATTTACTTCCTTCGAAGAAGAATATTATTATCTAGTGTTATATGCGATTCCTTTTTTTCTCTACCTTACCTTATATAATTCCGTGTTTCGATTCAACTTATTAATGAAAAGTGAGCGCAAATGTGCTAAGTGATCGCAAAGGATTCCTTGTTTTATTAATACATATACAATTTCGCAATAATTGTTATAAAATGTCGAATCAAATGACAATCATATTAGTTTATCTATAGAGTTTATACATTATTTAGTTCATATTCATACAGCAAACCAAATCATAGGCATAAATGTTTAATATATTTTACAAAAACACGTTTAAAATTTAGCATGTATAAAAGTAAATAATAAAATATATGTAACATATATTGTTCACAATAAATTTTGTAAGTAATACTTATAAAATACCTGCCAGCCTTGTAACAACAAACTCCGGTCCACGGCGCGAAGCCACATTACAGCATCTCCGGCTTCGAAATTTCGAAGCTTCTTACATCGGTAATGTAAAAATACTCCTAAACATTTTAGAAGTTCTGATGTTGACGCCTATAAAATATTACAAATATATACAAATTATTAAATGTTGAATGTTGGCTTTAAAAAAAGTGTTAAGTAGTATCTCTACTTATAGATAATTAAATGAATATGCAGCAATGACACAAAATCATTAATTTCTAGTTTCGGTAAGCGATACTTAGATATAATATAGAGGCAAACTCTGAGTCGATTTATGAATATCCGTCCGTCTGTCGGCCTGTTCATGTATTTTTGTAAACAAAGTTTATTGTACGATTGAGATGAAATTTTCCACATATAATTTATTTGGATCAAGGACGAACCCTATTAAAATTGGGTTTAGGTATAGATCCAATATATAAGTTAGCGTTTTACTCTAATAAGCAATAAAAATTCAACAATCGTTGTATCTTGACACTTTATTAAAGCTAGCGGCACAACATATGTTGTCGACTAAGCAATAATAATATTAAACTAAATACTTTTGCATAGAAGCACAACATATACTGTGGACTAAGAAATAATAAATACTTTAAGCTAACTTTATTGAGTCTCTTGTATTAATTCTTATAATTTGAACTAAACAAGTGCATAGCACTATAGACTTAATTTACCTGGCGCCCAACCACTACGGATTTATAAACGGACCCAAAACCGAATGGAATAAGCCGCTTAGTATCCAAAGAAAACCAAAAGACAGCTGCCACCCCGAATAGAAAGAACATGAAAACTGCACCATTAATATTAGTAAGTTAAAAATGATAAGTAATATCCTTAATAAGACAATTCCGGTGCAGAGACAATTTTCTATCACAGGCTGTAGTACCCATTAAGATTTTCCAATACGAAATTTAACACGATTCCGTTGAATAAAGGGGCTAATATAATAAAAATACTGAATATTGGGAGGTACCGTTATATGGGGACTATACGAAAGCGTGGACCCACATGTCTCATTTACCAACTTTACCTGCCTACTGGCAAAATACATATGTGTGCCAAATATTAACGTTAGTACAACACCCAGACACGTTAGTACAACACTAAATCGACTTAGAATTTCACGCTGATAAAGAATATATATATTTTCATGGGTCTGACAAGAGTATTTCGGAGAGTTACAAAGGGAATGACAAAGTGAATATAGTATGTGAGTATGGTGGAGTGTAAAAAAGTATTTTTGTGAACAAAGAAAGATCAATTATTAAAATAATTCTGTAAGCAAATTAAAAATTTAAGACAAAAAATCCTAAATTATTTTTGTGAAGAATGATCATAATGGTAGAAATCATGCCTTTTGTGAAAATAAACCAGAGAAACTCTTAAAGCTTATAGTGCTAATTGCATAAATATCAATAAATAGGAGCGAATAATTATTATCAATAATAGGAGCGAATTAATTATTAACCTACAAAAGAAAAGTTTTACCGTTTTTGGTATTTTTCAAGGCTGAGTGATTTGGACAAATTAATATCAAATGTTGACGCTATGAGTTATAGAATTCGGCTATCCCATCTTCTGGCGCAAATCCCAAAATTAAACCCTATACAAAATCCTACATAACATTGACTGTTTAGAGCTTGGAAGTGAAGCTTCAGGACAAAGAAATGGACAGTACAGAGGTCCAAATGATAATCGTTATCAGACATTCCAAATTGGCAACAGCAGTACTGAGGAACTGGAAGCATTCCATATCGACCTCCAGCAATGAATATATCTGGACAAAATCAGTTTGTTCGACACAAACCTGCTCTTCCATCAAAACCTGCAGTCCCAATGGATGTTAATCAATCCATCCAGACTAGGCAAGTGGACTACCAGAATAGATCACAGATGAAAAGTGCTATCAACGGCAGACAATTTAACTTCGAACGACAAAATTCTGAAATCATTCATCAGTCGCAGAAGCAGAAAATTGTGTTCAACTTCGAGGCCAATGCTCATGAAGATAATGTGCCAGATGATTATGAAAACTTGACAGTAATATGAAGCCAGCTGTGGCGATAATTACGAAGAGAATCTTTAACAACAACCAATAGTCGTTGGCGTTAATTTTTAGACTAGCTTCTGCGTTGGCATGTCATCAAACCACAACCAGTCGATACCATCATCAAGTTGTTGTTGGAAGAATATTCTTCTACGTTGACATCCGATATTGCTAACCGGAGTGCTTGCATGCTGTGCAAAATACTTTGTACATACTTTTTGTTGCGGTTAAGGCCCTGGGAAATTCTAGCAATAAACAATCAATATTCAAAAATTACATATTTCCCTGCCGCCATAAAATACCACATGTGAACAATTCGGTTATCTTGTGCGCTGACGCATACGATAATGTATCAGATAATAAAAGTTATGACCCACACGCACAGATATCGATGCGCTCAGTAGATGCACAAAACCACTAGAATGAATGACAAGCAGCCCTGCAATGTTCACCATTCAATATTACAATAGATAAGAATAATTGTGTGGCTGCGATTAGGTTAAGTTAGTTTAGTTTTTGTAGCACTTAAAAAAAATATTTTTGAAATAAATCAGAATTGAAATAACACCCTAGCAAAGTGGTTGTATTCTTTTCTCATCACCGAATAAAGAATAGAGTGTATAATCGAAGAGGGATTATGGACTCTTTTCTCGCTATAACATTGATCCTTCAAGCGGATCGAGAATTTTTCGGCTGGTTTTCTTTTCTCACTCAAAACATTGATCTTCCTAGCAGGATCCGAATAAAGAATAGTGTTGACAATCGAAGAGGGAGATTGGACTCTATTCTCATTTACATTAGTCAATCGTGACTTCACTTTTTTATAAAGTGAAAAGAACTAGGGACCACAAAAGAAAAAATTGTAGGAGTTTTCCCCCAGCAGTGGTAAGAGACTCACTACAAGCAGAAGTAGCTATTCTTCAAAAAAAGAGGAGAATTGCTACCAAAAGGCATTTTAAATGTAAGACCGTGGGGCATTTTAAAAAATAGTCGAAGGGACAAAATTAGACGAAAAAGCCATTGTGCAAAAAAAAAAACCATAGAGGCAGAATTATATAAAAATAATTATACATATTACAAACAAAACCCAATGGGCAAAAATAAAAAAAAAACACGTCATAGGGGCAAAACCAAAGAAAAAAAAGACCCACGGGGCAACGTAAAAAAATCGCTAAAAGAGTTCAACAAAGTCACAAAAAAAAACATACAAATTTGAAAAGAGTACATCAAAAGTCCCAACTAAAAAATAAATAAATTAAAAAAAAAATAAATAAATGAAAAAAAGCCAAAAAAACATAAAAAATAAAGAAGCAAATCATACAAAAAAAAAAAAAAACTAAGAAATATAAAAAAGCAGAAGATGATGCAAAAACTGAACAAGTAAAAAAACATTAAGTTCGGCCGAACTCTTAATACCCTCCACCTTAGGGTAATGGAAACATTAGAATCAATTATGACCCACTTATACCAAATTTAAGACATATTCGTGGGAAAATGTTGCAAAGATCATCAAAATACCGAATATCGGGAGGTACCGCTATATAGGGCTATACAAAAACGAGGACCTATACATACAATGTTTCGCCTACGGAGCTAAAACTCATTATGATCAACTATTTGTTGAAAAATGAACAAGTGAAAAAAACATTAAGTTTGACCGGGCCAAACTTTTAATACCCTCCACCATGGAAACATTAGAACCAATTCTGACCCACTAAAAACAATTTTTAGACAAATCCATGAAAAATGTGCCAAAAATCATCAAAATACCGAATATCGTGAGATACCGTTATATGGGGAAAATACCAAAGCGTGGACCTACACATGCAATGTTTCGCCACACGAACTAAACCCACTATGACCTACAAATACCAAATTTCAGACAAATCCGTGAAAAAATGTGGCAAAAATCATCAAAATACCGAATATCGGGAGGTACCGTTATATGGATTATACCAAAACGTTGACCGATATAGCTCATTTCCCATCCTAGACACAGTACAAATTATTCTGCTAAATTTTGACGCTCTACGTCAAATAATGTGGCCTGTATCGTGCTTTCAACAGACGGACAGACGGACATCGTTAAAGCTTAGAATTTTATGCTGATCATTAATATATATACTTTATGAGGTCTACGACGAATATTTAGGGATGTTATAAACGGAATGACAAAGTTAATATACCCTCCTTTCCAAGGTGGAGGGTATAAAAAGGATCCCAAAAACAAAAGCTCCAAGAAGGGGAACGTGAGCGGACAAAACAACAACGTCAGGAGGCATTGAGCTCGAAAATCCTGGGGCATTGAATATATAATATTATATGACAGCAACAATGCAGCAATAGTTTCAGGCGTTCCAGAAAACGATGCTGCAGCAGCAGGAGCATATACAATCGATGATGGAACTAATCAATCAGATGTTCCTAGCAAAAATAAAAATGAAGACAAGGAACAAGAGGAAGTCTTCGAAGCTGAGAAAGATGCTTGTCCAAACAACAGTCAAGTGTAAGAGAGGACATAATGCTGTTGAACGAAAACAGATTCCAGGCTTGGAAGGAAATTCTGGTGTCGCACTGACTGATGAAAAACCACTTCGGGAGGAACTTATCAAGTTACTTAAAATAATCGAAAAGTGGAAAAAGATGAGAAGCCGCTGCGCACAGAAGGATCCAAAATTTTCGACGAATATGATGATTACGACGACGATTCAAGAGGAAAAGAATGCATCGAAGAAGTGGGAAAAGCCGAACAAAGTTCTCTGGTTCTGGTTCTTGAACGGTATTGCCTTAGAGAAATCAATAGCAAATCATCAATGGCCGTTAGAACAGAAGATGACAAACCGGAGCTTACCATAAAGCCAATGGCAATCATTTGCCACTTGCGTGATGACGGTCTGCAGCGATGGACCACTAATTCGGCAGCATAGAAAATGAAGCCGGCAGATAAAGGTGGTGATATCTACAAGAGAGACTGGGCAGAAAAGTGGAGCCGTTTCCTGCAAGCGGTCACCTAGGATAATTTATATAATATATTATAATTATT